CACACACACACACACACACACACACACACACACACACACACACACACTTGAAACAGCTGGCCAAGCTAAACCTGAGTTAGTGAAGGCAACAAGTTCATCTGGAGACAGGGGTTCTCTTTGAAGTCAGTCGACACCATTGTGAGCGGAGGAAGATTTACGAGTTCTGCAGCTCACCTCTGCTTCACACAGCTGCTGGTCACAGACACACACAACAGATAGAGACTCACACAGACCAACGCCGTGAGACAAAAACACAAGAACCGATCCACACTTTGTGTGACGAGTATTTAAAAGTATCTGAGAAGCGTCAAACTTTGGATTTCTTTCTTTCTCAGGCAGGTTTATTTTTTGCGTCAATTTAAATCCTGATCACAAAGGTTTGTATTTCTCTGTGATAAAATGTAAAGAAGTTTTGAACATGGAAAACAGAGCGAGGCAAGTCACAGCACAATCAACAAGGGTACTAACGCCCCCTGGTGGCCATGGGCAGGTACTCATTCCTTTCAGAGAAACGTTTTAAGAAAGAACTGCGATTTGGACACATTCTGGAACAACTGGAGGAAAACACTTGTGTTATGTGATTGGTTTATATGTGTTTGCATGTGTTTTCAGACATAGTTGACTTTATTCTGATGCTTTCATTGTTTTCAGTATGAACAGTTTAACATTCTGGGCTGTTGACTGAACTTCATGCAGGTTCACTAGATTAGATTAGATTGGGTATCGTAACTGTCAGTCAATGTCAATAGGGCTAAAATGAGGTCAGTACGCAGCTCGTATCCCACCTGTAAATTAGACAATTTGGTTTTGGATTTGATTGTTATCAATTCACTGTTTGAGTCATTTGTGTGAGGAATAAATAAAGAAATAAAACGAGTTTTAAAAGCAGACGTCAGTGTTTTGGTCCTTGACATTTCCAGTGGTGTACTGCTGTGTTTGAGAACATGCACCTGCACCTCTCACACTGCAGGGGTCGTCCTGTGGCTCCTCAGCCAATCATCTGTAGCAGAAGCTCAACAGTATTTAGTATAAGGTTAAAAAAAATTTAAAAACTTTCTTCATCAAACCAAACAACATATTCAGTTGCATGTCATTGTTCACAAATGTTATTTTCGAGGACAGAGTCAAAAAAGACTTTAACTGCTGAAACTATTCATCTGTTAGTGGAGAGAATAAACAATTTGAGGGCATCAAGAATAAAAACCTGGCTTCAGGATGTCAAGGTTTCCTGTTTCCTGTTCCCTGTGAGTCAGTTTCCCCATTTGATTTAGTGTTATTGTTGTTTCAGCCTTTATGAAGCATTTTGTGACTTCGTTAAGGTGGTAAAGGTGTTGTACTAATAAAGCTTATGATATTATCATAGAGCTATACAGATGAATCGACCAGGTTATTGCATGATTTGTCCACCAGACGGCACCGCCAAGTGATTTCAACAGTAAAATGTCCCATTCAGTCTATATATGATCATTTCAAAACAAATCGAACAGACCCATTTCAAGATTTTTGTTTTATTCATGTTATTGTAAAAAACATTACTAGAGCCTACTACTAATTAATATAAAATTAGTTTCTTAAACTCGCAAATATCTACATCAATAACCAGAATCTGCCCCAAAAACCTAGTATCAGCTGGGCAATGTCACAAAAGACTGTGAAAGTGTGTGTATTTCAATATGTATTAATATTCTATAGGGTTAAACAATGAATAATTGAATTAAAACAAATTACAGATTACTGAGACAATAACAACATGTGAACAGGAGGTTAAAATATCACTTAGAAGTGGGCAATGTTGATAAAATCACTTCAATGAAATTTCACATCATGATAAACTTAATTGAATATTTAATAACATTGTTTTTTATGAATGAAATAAAAGGAGAAATCAAGACTTGACATCACATCAGAGCAAAAGTCCTTAAAATGTTATAAAAAACCATCTGGCAAATGTTATATATGTGAAAAATACAAAACCACAACAGGCAGTAAATCCTTCGTTCTGTGGCTGAGATGTTTTATCGTGAAGGTAAAGTCCATTTGTCTTTAAAAACAACAGGACATGGACACTTGGTGCTAGTTAGAGTGAAACCTTTTGATTTGGCTGCAGCGGCACCACAGCTTATTATACAGCAGCGGGCTATGATCAATAGTTTCGGGCTCATGAGTCATCAGACCTGATGCCAGCTTTCACTGCACAGCGGCCGCTGCCCCACATTCGTGGGACTTCTACACACAAACGCAACATTTATACAAATCCCACATCCTGTGAAAATCAGAGTCTCCCTTTTCTAAAACATGCAAAACTTCTTACGCAAAAATGCAAACAAACAAAGCCAAAGCAAAACTGGGGTCTCGAAATTGCTACTTAAGTAACCATGAAATTACAAGGTAACATTATAGTTTATACAGCCATAAAAACATAATTATGCACTGTGGTTTTATGAATACTGCGGTTTTCAAAATGAGGTCCCTCAGAAAAGCAAAATACCTTTCTGTTAATTTGTTCCCAGGCCTTTGATTCGGCCACTGTGGCGAGATAAACGTTTATAAATCACGGGGTTACCGACTGAGACACTCTCTGCGAGCACACGAGCGTGTCTGGCCAGAATGGATATGGTTTTGATTTGCAGTGCACACCAATGCTCCAGCCAATGCTAATCGCCAGGGAAAGCTTGTGAAAACCATGATGGATTTCACAGACATGGGTTTTTGAGCTTGGGATTTCATCACAAATCCTTTTAAGCTTTTATTTAATTTGGTTAAATATACACAAAACCTTTTTTATCTTTTTATGTGTCCGTTTTTGACCCACTACAGCCTCACTGGAAAGAATGACACAGAGGGGAAAGTTCCCGCTGATACTGACTTCTTGGATGAAACTTCTTATATCTTACTCACCAACGGCACAGGGCAATTTAGGTCTCGCCCAAGGACACTTTGCTGTGCCGATTGGAGGAGCTGGGGATCAAACCATCGACCCTCTGCACCAGTTTCTGCCTACAACCTCTCAGATTCCTTAAAACACACGGATGCCACCAGTCCCATAACAATGGCTTCTTTACACTATGTTTAAATACACATTAACCACCAGTACACAACATCCACAGCCTGTATACGTTGCACGCTACTGTTGCACTTTGGAACCGTGAGAAACTATTTCTATTCGGTCAAATCTGAACTTGAAACTTATGAAAAAGTAAAGTTGATCATCACACACACAGCAGAGGATCTGAAGAGCACAGATATGGAGATACGCAAAGCAAGCTGGCAAATTTAAATGATATGACTGTCTGTTCATTTTACTTATAAAGCACCTTCCAAACCACAGTTACAAGATGCTGTACAAAACAAACATTAAGATAAAAACAGGAAATAAACACAAACAATAGAAGAATGAATAATTAAACAAAACATGTTGAATTTCACAAAGTAACAAGAGAACAAATTGAAGCCTTTGCACCTGCAGCGACACAGAAATCTAGAAAAACTCAAATGAATCACCAGATGCTACAGTGACAGAAGTTTGTTTAACACAACACAACTGGCCCATGCCACAAACACACACCAAATGCATCTTCAGATGAAAACACAACGAAAACCAGCAGCTCTGCACAGAAACAGACTCACACAGGTTGTGATATCAAACAAACTGGAGGTTCAGTTCTTACCTTTGGAGAGAAGCAGCGGATCTGCACCATGTGGACAGGTGGACTGAGTTTGGTCCTCAGCTGCTGCAGGTGAGTCTCCTTTACACTCAGGTGGTTCCGCTCAGCTCTTCTGGAGGTTTTTTTGAAACTGAGGATTCACTTTCTCTTTCTGCGACTTGTTTCCAGAACTTTAAGTTTCCAAATGTGCGACGAAGCCTCGGGTCAGACGGAAGAGTTTCAGCAGCAGCAGCGTGACACCGCGGACAGGAAGAGAAGCAGGCCGCCATGCTGAGGTGAGAGGTGAAGGGTGAGAGGTGAGAGAGTGAGAGAGAGGTGAGAGAGAGAGTGAGAGAGAGAGAGAGAGAGGGTGAGAGAGGGTGCGTTGGATGCAAGATGCGGTAAACACAGTTGGTCATGTGTCAGTGAAGCTGACAATTGATTGTCTGGTGCTTAAAATTATAATAATCATAATATTAATAATTCATGTCTGTTTTTTAAACAAAGTGTTTCACTTAATAAATAACACGAAAACAAATCAAAACACTGTTGCATGACCCTCCATTACAATAATACAGAACATAATCAGGTGAAATCAGAGAATGTGGCACAATGAAGGTTTTGAGATTTGATTCAAAGCTATTCACTCAGCCCATTTCTCCCTTTTAGTGGAAACACTAATATAATTGTTATTAGTAGTAGTAGTAGTGGTTATAGCTGAAGGGTTTGACTGAAATTCAAATAAGAACCCCATAAACTTGTTCTTCTATTAGATAATATAAAAACTCATAAATACAGACATTATAAGAAAATAAGTACGATTCACGAAAACAATGAAATTAAATACAATGACATTACATGGAAGCCCTCGGGTAGAGGTGTGTTGCACAGAGGGATGGTAGTGGTAGAAGTCAAACACTCAGTAGGAGCAGTGGGAAGAAATCTCTGTGATTTGGATGGAAGATGAAAATAATCACCAAGTTCTTTTTTTTTAATAAATGGTGCAAGTTTTACAGAAACTAAATAAAATGCATTTGAGATAATAAAGTTTTTCTGCAGCCCCTCAAAGGCCTGAACTCACACTTACTCCATCAGTCACATAATGAGCAGAGTCATGATTATGAATATTGGTTTGAAATGGAGACGGGGGCTGAGGGAGGTTGGGGTTCAGGGGGTGGGGGGGTGGAGGTTACAACCAGCTGAACAAACACAATCTCTGTGATTTATGAAGCAACCTGTGAACTGCTAATGCTCCGAAATGAGTCAGGAGCCACGATCCACTGATTACTGATGAATATACAGTACAGAGCGGTGGGTGGGTGGTCTGACACAGAGACACAAACCGTTCCCAGACTCTCCTTTCATTTTAATCAATGAAAGATTCTGTATCATTGTGTATATCCCCAACATGACTGCAGCTATACACATGCATATACATTATGTTCTGATATCTGAAAGCAACCTGCGATAAAATAATATTTTGCAGTGCGCGAGCCTTTGATTGTGTCAGTCTGTGAATATAAAAGACAGAGGGGAAGAGGAGAAGATAAAATCTGTTCTTATACAAAGAGGAAGTAATGAAAAAAGTGTAGGATGTGAAGTTTCATGACTTTAAAAAAAACTTGCGAGATTTCACTTCTGACGTTCACCAACATGATTCACTAAAATAACTAACTTAACAGTAAATGGTGAGTTTTATGGTTTAGATTTTAAATTCAAAATTAAAGAAAAAGTATAAAAAAACAAAAAAACAATTGGTTTCTGGAACATGTCATAAAGTTTGGTAAAGACAAATTCTGCTTAATTACTACTACTACTTTACCCACTAATGTAATGGTGTAAGTGTATGAAAGACGTTATGATGGCGGAATGGGATCATGACTGATGTATGTACACATATCCAAATATACAAAATGATGATATATATCTAAGGACTTTTCAATCAATACTGAAGATATTGTGAGGTCAGACATTATAACAAATGTGGGAAAAAACACAAGAGATGAAACTTATCCAACAAACATACATGAAGTTAACAGAAATGAGTGGACACAGACTAGACTTCATTAAATGGGACTCTTGAGATTTGTGTTGGGTAGAATTAACAAAGGGTGAAATATATCCGAGACATTGGAACACGTCTGTCTGCGTCAAGCAGAACCTTAAGTTAATCAGCAGCTAAACATCCTTAGTGTCCACTGTTTTGATTCCATTTATCTTATAGCGAGTCGTCTTCCAGTGTGTAAATGAACTGTACTGTAGCTGCTATTTAATAACCTGTAGCACAAACATCTAAACATTTAATTTAGCAAATGTATTATTGATCGTTGATATCATGCAGATATTGTAAAGGGTGGTCAATGTGTTGTTTAAACGCGTTTCAAACGGATTAATGAGAAACATTTTGTTTACTGCGTTCATGTTTATTTCCACATTCTGACTTGAAAGCACGTGAACACACTGAAGTCAGAACAACAACGACTTCACAAGTGGGAAAACTGGACTTTCCGAGGAGCACGTGAATGCACAGTCTGTTTACTGTTTACATCCTTCAACAGACTCATGTCGACTCTTCTCTGAACACACAGCAGGTGCCTAGAACGGTGTCTTGCGCCCCCTGCTGATTACTTGACAGAACCATCAAATTGTGCTCACATTTCAAATTAACTTCAGAGTCCTGGACTTGGTGGAAGAATGTGGAYGCTAATTTCAATGAGCTCCTTCTTTTTATACAAAATATACAATCATCAGTAACATAATACAATCAACAGTGCCTATTGGGTAAATATGTGGACTGCCTGTATGTTACAAAGATGTTTTTTGAGAAAGGCGTCTACCGAGGCAGGTACAACTTCTCAGAGAAACCCAGTATAAAACCTCATTCACATCCTGCTACACATCCCTTCACTCGAACACTCAGTTTTAAGTGCCGTCAGAGTTTGTCAGCTGACCAGTTGCTTTAGTTTTCTTTGACCCATCCGAGTTCTGCTGCCGCTTCCTCTTTGGTCTGTTCTTCTTCCCTTCTTCTTCTCTGAATTGGTGCCTGTTGTGAGAAAGAAAAAGTTCCATATGTTTGCAAAGAGTAGTGAAGTTAATGTACATAACAAAAACATTTTATGTGTGCCTTTTTAACATAAGGACAACAGATGGAATGTTTGCTTTGAGGCAAAGTCTGGCAGATATACTAAAACGACAGGCTTAAGGCCTTTGAGTGTGTTAAACATATGTGATGGAGTTAATAGTTTTTTTCCATCGTTCTGTGTGAGTCTTCTGTGTAGTTACGGGTTGTGTGATCTCACCTGGACTGCCAGCGTCGGCCGCTGTTCCACACTCTTCCAAAAGAGGGAAGCCAGTTGGCGTCTGTCTGTGAGCTGTGATCAAAGTTGGCCCCAACTCTGTTCGGTGGAAGCTTCTTCAGCTTCTCTTGCTCCTCTGGCAAAAGACAGATGAGATCATTTTCAATCATCAAATTCATTTAGTTTAATTCTACACAAGTCTACAATCTCTGCATCACTGAGACTTGAGAAGATTAAAATGACCGGTATTATAAATATTTTGATACTTGAGCGCCACGATTTCAAAAAKTTGAATGTGTTTATGTGATTTCATATTTGACACAGATGCAATTTAAGCAGCAAAGACAAAAAGTCACTTAAACAGCAAAACATCAGATGAGTGATAAATAATAAAAACCTGCTGGTTATCATAAGTGATGTAACAGCATCCAGTAACACATGATTTGTCAGGTCTCATGGAAATGAAAAACAAGGACGGAACAAACTGCTCTGCTGACAAGTAGATTTAAACAAGTATTCCTACTCTGTTTGAGGAACTCTTGGAGCGATGGGCCAATCTCTGGATGTGCTGAAGCCCCAGAGGTCCCCTCCAAAGGATCGTCCTGGAGCCAAGGTGGGACAGCACCTACAACAGTCAGGACACTGATCACTTTTCAAACACATACAACAGGTGAACTGAGCTCCTAACTACTGGAGACACTGGGTTTCTTTCMATTTTTGATTGTATTACTTTGTTGTGTGAAAGGCAAATTAAATGTTTCTTTTCAGGATCACACAGGATGCATTGTAATGTTTTCAGAATAATATTAATCCTCAGAGGGACAGGGGGCAGAGCAACATCACTGAAAAGACAAAATATACATCGAGATAACTCCTCAACAGTCAAGAGTCATCTGGAAAATTTATGAAAAACTTGAATGTGGTTTATGATAATAAGAAAATGGGATTTAAAAAGATAAAACACAGAAGAGACACCWCATATTATTACATTTCCACAATGTATATTATTGGACTGGTTCAAATACAGAGCTTAGTTGAGATACTGAAATTCATCCTTCACTGTACCTGTGTGAACATTTCCACTGTTTGCTGAATYCTGTAACAGACAAAAAATTAGGTGATWGTGTTTGCAGTTACTCATGAGAAACTTTCTGAATGATGGGTGTCCTTCTACCTGATAGCCGATGAAAGTCAGGCCATGTCCTGCTGCCGCCCGCGGTGCTTTCACCATTGACTCAACGAAGCTGCTCCCTGGCTGCTGGTCTGATCCCTGAGATGTAAACTGCGAGCTGTTCCCCAGAGAACAAGATGAACCCCGAACAAAGTTAAGTGATTCAAATTATATTGATGACACTATACAAAAAGAGGATAATATGTCTCAGGTAGACAAAGTGTTACCTGACAGAATCCTCCGCAGACACGTCTGTGCCATTGGGACCATTGAACGACTCCGGGTCTGCGTCACGCTGATAGTGATTCAGGAAATGCCAACAGTGGTTCACAGAGGAAGTCTGACCACTACCCATCTTCAWCTCAGCTTTTATTATCACAATCCTTACACACTACTTTGCCCCAAATGTTAACACAATATTTTATTTTTCATCATCTCCATCTAATTGTAACCATAACCTGATGTGTAAAATTAAGTTTGTCATTAAACCACCATGACCTCCAGACACAAGGTTTCACCAGCTACAAATATTTGTTTTTAGAGTTAAACAGGTTTTCAGTTACACTCACAATGATCTAGTTGGGCAATTGTGACTTTTCTCATCTTACATGTAACTCAAATACACAAAAAGCAACAGTCAAGGCTGTAGTGATGGATACTGCCACTGCATCTCTGGAAAACAAACCTCTATTAGAGCCTGAAGGACCTCTTGACGATGCTTCTCCTGGGCCCGGATATGATCAGCTTGCTTAAGCCATGAAAAGAAAAGTAAACAGTTTTTAGGAATGCTAGTGGCAGTCTCAGAGCTGCCTCCACTGCTGTAGACTCTATTATCATTCAAATTAAAACAGTTACCTGTTTAATGAATTCATCCTCCTTCTCCACAAATGATTCCAAAACTTGTGGCAACTCAGCTTTAAACCTAAAAAAAAGCAAAAAATGATCCAATCTTTTATTTTCCATTAAAAACTTTATTAATATTGACTTTCARCTCTCGGAGAACCACCTTTCAGTTTCCTCCTCCGTGATGATGACCTTGTCTCGAAGCTTGGGGTCGGCTTTATTTTCCCACCAGAACTTGTGGGTATTCTTCCTGTGTTCTGGTCTGAAACCAAGTACATTTAAAACTGGTCAACCAGTAATTTTTCAAATGCACACAGTTTCATGCAATTTACTTATTACAAACAAAATTAAAAAAATAAAAAGCAGTTMATTTGATCAAACTTACGTGGCCATGTGTTCTAACAAGCCTCCGTACAGCACAGTCATGTTGCCGTCTGTAACATTTCTGTMTACTTCGAGCCCACARCAGTAGCACCAGAATTTCTGCTGGTGCTCGCTGCAGTCAAACTTTTCTACTTGGGGCTTTTTAAGAGTGCGACGAGCTTCCTTCACCTGGTACAGAGAGAAAGAAAACACATACAGGAAACATAGATAAACATGGTGGTTGGACTGGAGCTCTGATTAAATCTGAGGCAGTCTAATACAACAGCTCTGCAATAAACGCTAAATTCATRAAGGTTGAATGTTGATCACTTCTTTGTCTGTAATTTGATTTGTTGTTTATTTTATTTCACACAGCATCCCATCATCTGATTCTCCACCTCATGAAGACATCATTCTATTCAGTAGACGTTCACTGCGCCGAGAATTGTTGTGTTGCTATAACTATTATTGATGAGGGTGTTTTAAAGGTTCACTGAGTAGATGCATGTAGCTGCTGAACACCCCTCACCTCATCCTTCCCTTCCAAACAGGAAGGAACCTGTTGCAGACTTCCGTTGTCATAAAAACTCAAAAGGTGTTTGCTTTGTCCAGTCTGGGCTACTGTAAAAAAAAACCCTGGTGTACTTAAATATAAAGGACCATTATAGGGTAAAGAAAATAACAATTCACACAGTGTTGATGAAACACATGAGTSAAAACATCACTAATTTAAATTACTTTGCTGCCAATAGATCCCTTTCACCTCAATCTTAAAGTTGGCTAATGTTTTAGTGTTGTAAAGAACTGTGTTGCTTRGAAAATGTTTAAATGTGAATACAAATGAGCTAAATTCACTTCTCTATCAAACTACTGTTGGTCCCCAGCGTCCCTGACGCGGCATGCGTTATGTTGTTGGTTAGCACCAGGTGCTAGCATCGGGGCGAGCACGCGTGTAGATCCACAAAGTGGCTGGAAATGTTTGACATCGGCGTGAATCGGTGTAAATCAAACTACTTACCTTCTCTAAGAATTTGAGAAGAACCACTCTCAGTCTGCTCTGGTGACTCTTCCCGAAGATGTGTCCCTTCCCGGCGAATGTAGTTTGCCGACACACGGCGCRATAATAAGGAGCCATTGACACAGAGACTAGTAAATTACAGATGAACTGACACAGAAACCGAACATTTCTGTTTTAATTCTCATTGTTTATTGTTGGTGAAACGGAAAGCCACACAAGCTACAGCCCGGATATCCGCTCCAGAAAGGAAGCGGTTCCGTCTCGATATGTTTCCCCCTTGAAACAAACACAATTTATTGAACATCTGTCATCGTCAATATGAAATAATCCTAGCGATATTTTCAATCATCTAAAATGTTCGAATTGTAGTTTTCTTCACCCTGGAGTGGACCCTTTATATTTAAATACTTTATATTTACATTGAGAGGAGGTCCTCACTATGGAGGCCGCCATGTTTTTAAAGTAGCCCAGAATGGACAAACTAAATACCTTTCGAGTTTTGTATGCCAGCTTTCATTCTCTGTTAAAGTTGCTCTAATGTCAAATAGTTTCTTTGTCGATTGATCAAAGTCAAATGACATCAAACACATTTTCTGCTATGTTGTTCTCAGATACAAACATGGAACAAATGACTTCAAAGGAACTTCTAAGGAATTCTACAATCCTTAACTTCAACAAAGAAGTTGGCAACTTACTGCTTCCTGCTGCAAGAGAGATAGATCGAGAAGTGCTTTTACAACCAGATTAGCTTACGTTTTGTGTCAAGATGTCCAATATAGGTCGCAGGTGTAGAAAAAGGTCCATTGCTAAAGCCTGGCTGTTGGGCATCCGYAAGAGATTAAGAAGCTCCTTCTTAAAGAGGAAGAGAATCACATACAGCAAAGGGGTGAAAAGGCCATGTCGTGAGCCCACCCAGAGTCGAAGCTCGAGAGGCAAAAAAAGGCCCTACAATGAGATTGCCAAGAATGACAGTCCTCTAGAAAGGCCCTCCAAGGTGATGAGGATAAGTACTGATGC